ACAATAAGTTCCCGTACTATGAGGGATCTAAAGCCTGGTACTTTGGCACTTCAATCCCTTATGAGCTGAAAACCTATACCCCTGGCACCAGCTTGTACATAATGAGCAGCACAGACAAGATTACGGTCGATGGAGCGCCCGATATTTCCATTTGTAGAGGACGTCTTGGGAAAGCGTCTATTAGAATTCAAGATGGAAATCGCACGGAGAGAATCGTCAGAGCGGAACATGACGAGAAAACAAAAACGTCTGCGATAGCTCAAGGGAGACGTCTCTGGGGTTAGAACGGCAGAAAAAGCCTGTCGAAGAGCAGACAAGAGCGATATTGCAAAAACGACAAAAACTAACAGAAAAATCAGAAAAAAACGTTGCAAAAGTGTAAACTCTAGCGATGCGAGACGGAATTTTACTTTGGGGACGGGCAAAAAAGAAAGTCGAACATCTCGGATGCCTTGAAATGGAGACAGTCTTCAGCTCCAGAACCTCAGAGTATTCACACAACCGAAAAGCCGATATCAGATAGCTCGAAACTACTGTACATCTTGCCGTTTCCCTCTTTTGGAGATGCTTCAGGGAGCGGTAATTTCTGCTCTACTTATTCTACCAAGTCCACAGACCGACCATACAGGGGCCCCAATTATAGATAGCACATCGCTGACGTCTCACTGATGAAATTGATCCCATTGAGAGCAGAGCTGAGTTCATATTAGAGTTAGAAGCTACAAGAAGGTGTCATCAGTTTCGAGTGGGATAAAAACTGCATGGATTTTGGCACGGAAGTAGGTAAACATAGTACAAACAAGGTAAACAAAACCAAAACTCGATTGTAATCGAATTCGTAAAAATTGAATCACTCCGTTGCACATTCGAGCTTGAAAAGGGCAAAATAACGAAAAACAAATGTCCAGGAGTAAAAAAAAACCTGGCAAGAAAGGGACCTGGACAACCTCGCCGGGAGCGATCAGAATGCACTTGTAGCTGCAGAACGGTTCCTGGAGAAAAATGAAAAGAAATTTGGTCATGATAGGATCCCCTTATCGGGATTCCGCTACTGTATCCGGATACTGTAGAGTAGTGTCAGAATTGAGACGATTTCTAGGACTTCGAACAAAAGTTTCATGAAAGGCATCGATCAAAGAAAATGAAATATGTAATCCATGAATTCCAAACAGCTATTTAAAGCCGAAAATCGACAAATGGTTCGTAGAAATGTCAATGCCAATGGAAGGCTGTAATAAATCGGCCGCCGTAGGGGTAACAACGAGAGCACGCGTTTTCGCCATTAAAACCAGATGTGTGGAATGAGGAGAAGCTGCGACGTTGGCTTGGTAGAAGGGCGAAGGGCGACGTCGCGTATGCGGCGACCTGCGGTAAGCCCCTTTCAAGCCGATTGTACTAGGGCTTCAATTAGATTATAATCGAGCAAGCGGCCATACTCTGTAATCTGGTCCCGTTGCCGACCGACTGCCAAGGACGACGATGACGTTCGTGTGCAGTGAACTGGAGAAGGGGAGAAAGGAAAAGCCGTGACCCGAGCGGTGACAGGACTGAACGATGAGCTATGGTAAGGGCAAATAGGCTAGCAAATCTCCACAGCGCTGAATTGACATCATTCGATAGAGGTTGGTGGATTTTAAGGATGAAAACCTTAAACTGCAGATAGAACGTACTGTAAGTATCGGAGTTCTGAAGGTCGAGTCAGGTAGTGACCTTCGAAAAGCGGAAATCGGAAGTACTTCGGTGAAAAAATCACAGAAAGAAGAATAAGAGAAGGGCAGAATAGGAGTGGTTTGGCAGCAGAATGAGAAGTTTCAGGTGAAGGCGGCTTAAAATTCCGACACCATTGTTTGTATAGCGCGGTAGTGATGTCTTCGGTAAGCCTCTACGCCAGAGAACGAAGCGATTGTGCACGTTGACAATAATCTTTGAAACGGCTCATGAACTGTAACGAGGGTGGCGTGCCCACGGCTGGGAGCAAACACAGTTTGGTCACAACTAATTTTGGAAGGTGGTTGAACCGGAAACCTAGACGAAACGCCCAGACTTGCGAAAATTCCTAGTACAGAAGCCTTAAGGCATACAAAATTCCTGTAAAAAGAATAATTTTCAAAGCCAGGAAATTTGGATAACGGGATCGAAGTGAATTGCGATGCGAAGTTGGTAAATATTTATTTATTTACTGTGACGATTATTTGTATAAACTGATCGCGATCGCTTGTTTTTGATCTCGAAAAGGGAAAAAACATTCAAAAAAGAGAAACGCCGCAGGAATAGAGTAAACATTGCAGAGAATCTTCTTTTGGAAAGTGAAAGTTCTCGACGAAAATCAACTTCTAGCTAAGGCCGAAAGAAGAATTTCCTTAAGGTCATAGAAAATCAATTTTCCTTACAGCTCCCCATGCATCCAAAAGAATTCAAATATTCCATTATTATAATTAGTTTGATAAAATTTTCAACATTACAGCCATTTGGAAAAATAACCTTTTAGATGCAATGGAGTGGATTTAAGAGAAAGATGGAGAAAGGGAAGATAGGAGGAGAAGACAGAAGAAGGGGAAGATCTGGCCAAGAAACAACCCAATCGAGTTGGTCCCATGGCGACATTTCGTCTAATTACGTAGCCGTTTAATTACTTTTCCAATACTGACTGGCATTATGATTCCATCTCGATATCATGATTAATTACCCCCTTTCCTCGGACGCTCACTAGGTAATCTCTCTGGAATATGACAACTGAATTGACAGCTGTCTGGTTGGATCAGATTTTGCGTATCCGCTCTTAATAAATAATTCCCAGAGAAAAAGTAGCTCCAGTATGAAAGTAGGTCCGGCAGAATTTACTCAACGTTGTAAAACTGGCTTTGGTAGCGAAATCCGATCGCCAACGGCAAAAAAGCAGGAGAATCCCGTTTGAATTCATATTAACTGGTTGGCTAGGCTGACGTGACGTGGTTCTACGGGACGCGTGGATGGGTAAGAAAATGATGGGAGGATTCTGAAGAGGTCGTTTTGGGACGTCGAATCGGCCAAGTTAGCGACGTTTGAGAAGGAATCATGTCGAGTTTTCCATTCAAAACTCGTCTACCAAGTCTGTTTGCACAGTTTCCCTTTTGCTAGCTCTTTCTTCTTTACGGCATTGCATAGTGCACACACACAGACACACACGCGGGGCGCAACTCGATATGGCTTAAGTAAACTGAATGCAACACCCAAAGAAAAACCACCTTCCTCATACAAACATACCACGAGACAAATGAGATTCGCTTAGGTGAGATTGGGCCCATGTATCGAGTTACAGCCCCGTTGCTACGTGAAACCTTAAGAAAATCACATGGAGGACTTTTTCTCAGAGGCATGAAAAAAGCATCGGTATTACGGTAGAGAGTCAACATTGGCTAATCTCAAAAAGGAAACATAAAAACCCCAAACTTTCTGGAGACATTCAGAAAATAAATGTGTGTCATCGGCGATGTTTGTTGGCAGGAAACTTCCGACACAAAATTGGTTGGTAGCTCCACAAGAGAATTGTGTTGGGAGCACGACAAATGAGGAGAACACAATTCAAAGTGTGCTTGCTTTAGATCGACTATAACCAGACTTACTTTCAGGCATAGGAGATTTAGAGCCTTGGGATACCGCCTTCGCTTCGAACCCAAAGAGATTCGGATAGAAATGTTGATTTTATGATTGCAATCAAAGTGAACCCTGCAATCTCCGAGGAAGCGAGTACTTAGAAGTCAGTCAATGAAGATGTTATCAACTCCGGAGGGTCAATCGAAAAACACCAAACTGTTTATGTTTTCCTATCGATGTTGAATACATGGTTTTCAGTTTTTTATAACCTCATAGGAGTGAGGGCGTTGAAAAACTCACCAATGAAATCACTACTAGTATGACAGTTTCTTCGAAAGTAGCTCTTCATTTGAGTTAGGGAAGTTTAAAATCTTGAAGTATGCTCTTGGAGGTTCAGATACTTTCAAACATTTTCAGATATTTTTTCAGAGAAGTTCAGAAATTCTCTGATCGAATTGATTCGAGCCGGGAAGGCTCCGTAAAAGTGAGCAGTGCTTGCAGGGAACTCCCAGACCAATGACTAAATCAGACAGATCAACAGGAACTGAAGAATTATTACACACGAGCGGATAATTGCCTAGATCGTGCGCCGAACGGAAAGGTGTGAAAGGAATGGGGTACACGGGGTGACTAATTCAGGTAGAAGAGAACACAGGAGACCGCAACGCCGGAAAGGTGGGGACGACGGTGAGTAATCGGTCTGGTATGTCGCCTGGTTGCCCAAAAATTTTGGCAATATTACAAAAGTACACAAAAATCGAAAGAAGAATTTAAACCTGAGGTGTTGCATGAATCTCTCCAGTGAAAGCTCCCGCTTCGTCATTTTCCGGGCCCAACACAACTCCGAGATGAATTGGGAATTAAAATGGTTGAGAGAAGAGACACAGAATTCGAAAGGAAGAGAAAATGGGTGGGAAACTGGTAGGAAAGTGCCCTAACAAATCAATCAGAGCATTTCTGACGAACAACCTCCGCAAAAAGTAGGAAACAGGCTGTTTCTGACTGAATCACACCCGATTGTCGCCCAATCCCCAAATTTGAACCCCACCCAATCCTATTTAAGGATCAAAATGCGGATCATACCATGGTTTACTACCGTAAACCATGAAATGCATATGATAGAGATTCAAAAATCAAGTAGGAAAGTAATGTAGAGTATATAAACTAGCAAATCAAAATGTATCAGCCTTCGTCCATCTGCCAACTTTTTCGAAAGAGAGAAGCCCGTTCCCAATGCTCCAAAACATGCCCATAAAACGGCAAGCACAACTGATAACAACCGTTTTATCTTCATAGCAGTAAAATGCACTTTAGAACAACACAGGAACGGTCCGATGACGGTCCGATGACGGAATTTCCGGCGCAGGTTTCAGATCAAAAATCAATCTACGGGGGCTACGGTGAAAGGGAGAAGGGCGTGTAGTTTGATGGTGAAAGAAGTTGGAAGAAGAATAAGAAAGAAGAAAGAAGGAAAAACGAAAAATGAAAGAGGAAAAGAAGGAGTAGAGGAAGGAGAAGGACCTGAAGGGAAAGAAGGAAGCGAAGGAAACGACGGACGAGAAGGAAAAGAAAGGAGAGATTGAAGTGAAGGAAGATATGGAAGCGAAGGTCGTTACGGAAGAGAAGGAAGAAATAAGAAGGTTGGAGTAAAAAAGAGAAGAATGAGGAGGAAAAGAAGAAGAAGCCAATGAAGGGGAAAAGGGAAAAAACTGTAAAAGAATTTGGTTACTTATGGAAGAAATTGTAAAAGGAAAACAAAAGCCTCAACGAAGAAGGCACCCTTTTCCGACTGCTCATAATTGACGGCCCCAGCTGCATCTTATATGTATTTCTCATGGAGAAATTCGAATTGGAGCTATTTCATAGAAATAACGGAGCTCAAATGAAATTCTGATATTAATCTTGTGAAAAATTCAAAAAAGAAAATAAAAATGGTCATAGATATGAACGACTTTCGCAATCGGCTCATAAATTTCTCTTCATAGCAACCATCATATGAAACTGTCGTGGCAATTTAGCAGTCGAATAAAATTTATGGATACTTTTTAATATGCTATAAATAAAAATTTTTGGGCCTCAATAGGGTGTCGACAATCGATTTCGATAGGGAAACTTTCCTGAATCTTTCCAAGTGTACGTAAGATCTCTCGCATTCTCTCTCTTCCGCCCTCTACTATTAAAATGTGACAGGGATAAAAATAAATCGATAATCGATCACCGGCAATCTACGCGGAATGATCAATTACATGGAAATTTTGCGAGCGAGAGCATGCTATACGTGCGATGTGAAGTGATTTTTGATGTCTTGAGATGGCCATTTGGGTAATTTACACCCTAGACGCCCATGAGATATCTTAGGAATGTATGGGATGCTTCAAAAAAGGTTGTACTCTTCCCAGTATGTACTTCTGCCACGAAGGTTCGAAAAAACATCAGTCCATCGAGAAAAAAAATGCAAAAATGCAGGCATACTGCAGGAAAGTGAGTTTGCATAACGGAAATTTGATAGAAAACAGCCTATAAAATGGCATGAACATGACAATAAAGTAGTAAAGTAGCATTATTTGCAAGGAATGGAACGACGAAAAAACAAAGAACCTGTGGACTGTTGTGACCCAGGTCGACCGCTTTTGCTCAAAGAGGTCAGGTGGTTTACTCGTTTACTTCTTTATTTGTATAAATTATGTCAGTTTTCGAAATATGGCACAACAAAAGAGACTGAGTTTGAAACTCTACGAAAACGGACACGAAACTTAGCGCTAGTATCTGAAAGGTGGTCATGTATATATCGTGATACCCGCTGTAAGGGTGTCGGTGCATATATTTGGTCCTTGAGGAGAAGGGATTGTTTTCACTGAGCGATACATGAAATAAAGGAGATTCTATGTTTCACCTGCCTCCTCACCCATTTGGAGGAATAGGGATAAGAAAGGGAGGAGGAAAGAGGTTAGTACATTTTGAAGCAAATTTCTAGTATTTGATCAAAATTGATGGGACTTGAAAGAGTCAGGCTTTTTGCCTGGAAATTCCATGGAGCCCAGGGTTATTCTAGAGAATCTCTATAATTGGAAGTCTAGACTCACTTGGTGGACGATTTGTGGGCAAAACTCCGGCCTCGGATAGACCTCGAACCCGAAGAACAAAGAACAAACAAACAAGAACGTCAAGCCAAATTTGAGTCTAACTTTGAAAATTTCAATCGGCCTTCATAGAACACTATCAGCTTTCAGGCTACGTGGTCATGGCTTTTACTGCTCCACATCATTACAATGAAAGGCATAACCATAATCTCAAATGATCCAGTGTATTAGAATGTGGGGGCAAATGCAATATAAACCGGTCAATTACGCAAATGCGGCCTGCTTTTACAGCTGCCATTTCTCTTTCGCCATGACGTGATGTCACCGTTGGAAACGATACGGAAACAGGAAGAAATTGAGAAAATCAGGCTTCCATGGAGGTTGACCCTGATTCATGAAAACCTACAAAAATGGTTATCAAAAGGTAGGGCGGTGAATGGTTGCTGACTCGAACGTGCCGTTGAAAATGAGACTTATAGCAGCAATGGGAGTGGTCCGGGAATGAGAAGCGATAGGGGTGATGGCTGAAGAGATCGTATCGCTCCTCCGTGACGTGTTCGCTTCCCCATCGGCCCCGATGGCTACCGCCCTACGGCGTCGCGTGCGGCGAAGAGCCATAGCTCTGATTTATGGAAATTGGAACGCACTTTTGCAGATTGCGACGGGCAACGATGCTCAGAATTCAACGGCAGACATTGTTACTACCAATCAGGGGAGATTTCTGGGAAAAAACTTGGTGTCCGTAACGCTCGCCCATTCCCTTGAGGGAGTGAGCACGTCGCAGAGCGTCGAGCAGGAGTGACGAAAAAGTTTTGCACAGAACATATAAGGAACCAGACCCTAAAAAACACCTTTGCATTAAGGAGTTCAGTGAGGTCGCACTATGGAGTCCAAGACAAAGGCTGGAAAGAACGCCTATTGAGGTATACCTATATAACGTCGATATCATGTGGCGATGCTGTAGGGAAGGAGCGAAATTTCGCTCTGAAAGTTTGTTTCAAACAGACTTTTTATTTCAAGCCATGCACCGCCCGTAATCCTCTACATCACGTTCGTAAAAAAAGTCCACACTGTAACCCAGAAACCTTAGCCAGGTTGATTTATTCTCCAAAAACTCGTCATCTGTAGGTTGCAGAGATTCCAGAAGGGGTCTAACCTCCCAACTCGGCAACACCCTAGCTTTCTAAACCAAAAAAGTATAATCAACCAAAACGCCAGAAGAAAACTGCAAATTTGCCGATCAGATCCAGGAACGCCAGCAGTTTCGACAATTAAAAGCTTCCTAGGGAGATCTACCTCGAACGTAGACACGATGAAGGCCGTGAAGTTGATGAACAACCGGTGCACCTTTACGGTTGAGGAAGGATATGAAGGTCGTACTACAAAAAAGTTATGTTTTTATGTTAAAGTTATGTTTTTTTTTT